TCATCAATCGATAAGTAGTTCTCTTGTTTAGAGTAGCTATCACATCGTATACAAGTTTAACGTGTACCACCGGTGGTACACATGGCACGGTACGTGTTAACCAATATTTACTTTTAGATACTTCCTGTAGTAAGGGTTGATATAAATAAATAAAAAATATCTATCAAAGCGATAGAATGATATTTCTTCCAGCCATTTCAACTATTCGAGATTATTTCAAATTGCCAAAGAAACGTTTGGAACGGTCGGTGAAACGTTGAGGTTGGTTTTCGGGGTACTCTTACTGGAGTAGTCGCGAAGTACGACCCGAAGCGACATGGTTAACGTGGCGATATGATATATGTAGAAGCGAGAGGTACAGCTCGGCTCAAATAGCCTCTGGTGCAAGGGACGACGGGGTGGGTGCTCCGTTTCGTGTTCTACTAACAATAAGAGCGTAAACTCCGCCAGAAGTATACGTAGCGAGCCGTGTTGAAAACGTGGAGGGGCTCGAACGCGCGCGTTCAGGTAAATGAAGAGAACCATCGCCGCGAAGAAAACGCAACGCGGTCGACTACTGCTGTCTCGACACGTTGATTGCCTTCATACCTTTGTTTTCTATTCTTTTCGTTCAGTTTTTTTATCTAATCTATTTCAGTGTTGAGTCTGTCAAACTGGAAATGCCTCGAGCATAGACCATTTAGAGAATTTTCAACGAGGCCCTCAATTTTGTTCTCTCAATATAACTACTGTAGTATTATGTATTTTCATGTAAATAAAGTAGTTACGACCTCCAAAATAATTTAGCAATTTATTATACTATTACTGTACTTACTGTACTGTTATTATATTAATATTTGATAATTTAATCTGTTTAAACCTCTTGCGCTGGCAACCGGGTTCGCGGACCATAACGAGTGACCAAACTGGTTCACGGACCATAACGAGTGACCAAACTGTATACAATAATTCGCCGCTTTCTTTTTGAATTCGTCGGTCTTCTTGATATCATTGGATACAAATTATTATTATTAAGAAGTAATAAATGTATTATTTGTTTTGTCTAGGTTATATTGAAATATATTTGAAACTGAGAAAATTTTGAGACAGAAAATTCTCGACGTGCGTGGCACGTCATTCCGGTGCAAGAGGTTAACTTCTTGCGCTGGCAACTGGTTGCCGAACCATAACGAGTGACCAAACAATATTTCAATATACAGCGTACAATAATTCGCCGCTTTTTTTTTTTAATTCGTCGGTCTTCTTGATATCATTGGATACAAATTATTATTATTAAGAAGTAATAAATGTATTATTTGTTTTGTCTAGGTTATATTGAAATATATTTGAAACTGAGAAAATTTTTGGACAGAAAATTCTCGACGTGTGTGGCACGTCATTCCAGCGGAAGAGGTTAATTTGAAAACAACTTTACTGTTTAAGAACTCGCTTTGTCACTGTATTATACTATTACATCTTTTCTCGCCTTGAAATCTAAGATGAAAATAAAATCGTCGCCCACGTGTGGATGGAAATTTGGAAATTTGACCTAGATCAATTAACGGTCGAGAGCTTTTTTTTTTTTTTGTAATACTCGCCCATAAGACGACAGAAAATTAGGTGAAAGCTTATAAAATTTAAATAAAACATTTAAACTACTAGTTTATTTAGATATAAAGTTGACTCATAATCTCATAAATGAAATTAATTTCTATAATTTCTGACAGTATGATATTTTTTTCAAAGCAGTAGCCAATGTGTGGAGATGGATTTCTCGGGGCATGTTGAACAATGTCTTGTGTCCCCTTTCGTTTTCTATGGCCAGAAAAAAAAAGAAAAAAGAAAAGAAAAAGAAACACCTGCGAGACGATATTTACGATTTAGTTGGGAAAATTAAGTTAAGTAGGTACGTTGCGAAATCAAGGAGGAGAAGGAAACGTTTCGACGCCGTGATTGCAATTAAGAGTTTCTTCTTTTACAGCGTGGCGTGTTAATAGGATAATGGGCGTCGAATGGAAGGTATTGATAAATGCTAAGTGACGGTCAATGGATGGGCGGCGCATCTTATCCCGACGCGTTCTTCGTCGTTCCAGCTCCTCTCTTCCGAGTTTCGCTTCTTCCACTTTTCGTGGATCATTTTCGACTCTGTAATGTACACAGGGTTGTTCGTGTGACTCGCACACGTGAAATAACTTTTGAATTATGCGAAAAGTTTCATCCTCAAAGTAGACAAATTATGGTAAAATATCTCCTTAACCAACGTGGCTTGGAATGATCTAATTAAAAAAAAAAAACCTTGGAAAATTGATACGCCGTTAAAACCACGCAACTTTTGTATTAAACAATTTATCATTACACTCATAATTTAAAAAAAGTTATTTGAATCATTCTGTGTACAGGGATGTCGATAATACAAGGTGATTCTACGTGAAAAAATAAGTCGAAAACGAAGAATAA